AATAGATCTTAATGGATTTTACAACATTGTGCATAAGATACTATTTTGTCACTCATTTTTCTACTCGACGAAACAACCCTTTTCGTCGTATTCAGTGAGATGTGATCAAGAGAAAGGCAACATGCTTTATTGATGGCGAGACGATAACGAAAATTTATTGTCTTATAATGTGACAAATGTAGTTTCTACACTTATTCGAGATCCTAAATGATGATATTTTACTGTTATTTGGATAAAATTCTACTTAACTTGTGTTATATTGTATTTTGTAAGTAAAACTTGATATTTGATGAATAATTGGAGAAAAGAATGTAAAAATAGTGAAAATGGCGAAATCCAAAAGTCGGGGACTAAATTGCAAACAATCCATATATGAGACGGAGGACAAAATGAAGATCGAAGATACCAAGGATTTATTGGATACAATTGGAAGATAAATGAACAAGATTGCAAGAGAAAGGACTGAAATGAAGCAAATTCAAAGTTCGAAGACTCAAGTGTAAATACTCAAAACTAGTGTCAGACCTCACAATAAAGATTCGAGAATGCTAGAAGTCAATCGGATGAAGAAAGTTGTCATGGGGATGAAATATATTCAAAGTATTATCACACATTAAGCTCCAACCGAAAAAGTTATGCTCCGAATTTTTAGTTTTAACTTGAGACCCATTTTTTCGGATAACAAACATTCGAGTTAGAAAATTTCTATTATGTAAGAATTGTAGCCATTTGAGTTATCTTTCCAACTCATTTTGAATCACTTAAATCGGATATCGGGAGAGAAATATATAACAAAAATATTGAAAGATGTATGGCACAAAAAAATTATACCTATGTAGCCGCAAAGGTTTAAATAGATGCGACCATATCTATGCCTCCAGGGATCCCGAATCCAGCTATGATTTATTCTATGCGGCTGTCTCCATATGTACTATGCGGCCACATAGTACTTTTTTGAAGCGAGATTTTGTTTCCTTTTCCAATTGAAACTCTACTTTGAAAACAATCTTTTGAGCATCCTTTAATTACCATAATCCGTTCAGAACGTGGAGAAACCTTCTTAGGCCTAAAAATCTTTATATTCTACATTTTTGGAGGCAAAAAACGACGCTTGATCATGGTGAATTACTCAAGATTCTCTAAAATTATTTAATCAAAATCAGATTTCATTCAAGAACCTTTCTTGATTTGGGTGATTTTTTTCCATCTTATCTTGTATAACTTAATAAATAGGATGCTAGGCTAGTTCTTTCTTTGTATTTGATGAATGATGAATCATATTGTTTATTTATATTAATTCAATACAATTAATTTAATATTTCTTGATTTTGCATTCCTATTGAACTATTTGTTTTTTTTTTAATCATCAATTAGATTGTAAGTTGCTTGTTGTAGTATATAAATACTCACAATAAGTCTAGTAGACGACAAAATTAGCACATTAGCAATAAGTATTAGGAATAATATTTATGACATGTGCAATCATGTGTGATAAACCATGTGAATCAATTCATATTTTTTATATGAAATTCAGATTAGAAATAAGATCGTGTCGTATTAAACATATGTTTAATATATTTTGGAAAAGAATATTTAATAAGATTGAATTAT